GCCGCTCCGACTAAAGATTTTGACTAAAGAAGAAGAAGTAGAAGAAGAAGAAGAAGAAGGTGGCCAAAGAAAGAGGAAGAAGAAGAGCAGATCTACGGAACGGAGGAGATTTTGACTAAAGAAGAAGAAGAAGAAGGTGACCAAAGAAAGAGGAAGAAGAAGAGCAGATCTACGGATCGGAAGAGATTTTGAGAAGAAGAAGAAGAAGAAGAAGAAGAAGAAGAAGAAGAAGAAGAAAGGAAGAGGAGGAGAAAGAGTTGGGGTCTTGGGGATCGAAGAGGAGGAGTAGCAGATCCGACAGATCCAAGAAAGAAAGAAAGAAAGAAAGAGAAAGAGAAAAGGAAGAAGAAAGAAGGAGAGAAGGGTATTTTAGGAGAAGGGTATTTTGGATTCAATCTTTTAATGTGGTTCAACCCAAGTGTCTTATTGCCCAATCCAGTTGTCTCTAACCAATCCTAATTATAAATTCTATCATGGTATCAGAGCAGGTTTTGGCCCACCTCGTTTGTCAAGGTGTCCGTCTAGACGTTCATTCCTAGCGGCCCGTTTGTCTTTATCCCAGTTGTCCGTATGGAGTATGTACCCAACGGCCTGTGGCGCGTTTAACACGATTGCTCGTCTGGAAGTCCATACCCAGCGGCTCGTAGTCCTTTAAGGTGTTGGCGCTCGAAAAAAAAATCAAGGGAATGAGAGTTTATTTGCTAGTGGTCAACCGGTTAGATTCAAAATGGCCCGGTTGTCCACTTGAGGGGGAGTGTTAGAGTCTATCCCACATCGGAAAGTTGAATAGAAAAGTTATTGGTATATAAGCTCTTGAATTTAACTATTTAATCGATTGGATTCAATCTTTTAATGTGGTTCAACCCAAGTGTCTTATTGCCCAATCCAGTTGTCCATACCCATCCCAAATTCTATCATGGTATCAGAGCCAGTTTTAGCCCACCTCGTTTGTCAAGGTGTCCGTCTAGACGTTCATTCCTAGCGGCCCGTTAGTCTTTAGCCCAGTTGTCCGTATGGAGGTTGTAC